AGAAAAAATAGAGACCTTCCATTGCTTGCAATGAAGGAAGGGAGGAAAGGAAAAGAACTAAGAGAAAAGAAGTAAAATAGGTAGGAAATACTCTCAGTTTTATAAGTAAAGAGTGAATGTTTCAAGGGAATTGCAAATATGTGATCCGTAATAGGGCTTCGTCACCCTGCTGCCCTGTATGTGGAACTACGACAAGCCCAAAGTGATAAACAACTGCAATCGGGAGCTGTCTGAGCTCTGCTTGAAAACCTCAGTGCCAGAACAAGTGCAAACAGTTATACCTAGACCTATTTCAGTCCATGCTGAGCTCTCTGGATAGCAGCATAAACTTGCATTCTTCCCATCAGCTCATGCATGAGCACCCAATGGACCCCTGCATGAGTGCCCAATCCTCTTTTGCACGACTGCCCCAGAGCTTCACGCATGTGTGCCCAAGCACCTTATGCACTGACACCCAATTAATTCACACAGTGCACCCAGTTAATTTCAGGAGTGCCTCATCAGCACATCCACGGTACGTTATGAGTGCACACATGGTGCATGAAGGACCATGCCTGCAGTGATGCCCAGAAGGGTGAGCTGAGGCCAGGAACGTGGGAGGAGAGACATGGGTTGGCCTAAACTGACAAGGGAACAAGCAGTTACTTCAGTGCTTGGTTAATTCTTCATATTTGAATTCCCAAATCAGTCATTACAAGTTTGTGTTAATTGTCAATAACTTAAATTAAAATTAACTGAGTTGAGACTGTTTAGACTACAATAGCATGTGTGAACACTGAGAACGAGGAAGGACTTAAGCATTGAACCACAAGGGAGAGAGCACCCTAAGCAATCAATTGCTGCTATCAAGTAATCTGCCCTAGAGATTAAAGAACACAAAGCAATAAAGCACTTAATGAAAAAAGGTTTTTAGTGAGAAATGGGGGTCACAGGGAAAATGCACATTAATTTCAGCACATAATCGCACTATACAGACAAAAGCAGATTGTTGCTAAAATGATTACTGTGGTGAATTTTGTGCTAGAGAGTCTTCTCCCATCAAGTGCAACTTTAAGTGTAAGCAAGAGGGTGACAGATATAAAAAAGAAGCTTCAGAAACGACACATTTGTCCTGCTCCAGTTTTCTTAACATCTGGATCACTGCAGGTACATGCAGCCCTCTCAAGAGACTGGGGAGGGCAGGTGTGGGCCCAGCCCCCTGTGCAGCCAGCAGCAAGTGGCAAAATGTACCATGCAGCTTCCCAACAAGGGACAGTTTCTTCCAGCCTACAAAAACCCCTCGGCATTTCAAGATCAAGCTTGAGTTAACTTCCTAACACTATGTGTCTTCTGCACCCCAGAGCTCCTATCTAAAATAAACCACTCCCTTGTATCACGAGATAATGTTGACTCTTGCATTTCATTGTTTTAATATTAATTTGCAACTCTTACATTCTTTCAATACACTCTCCCTCCATAAAAAAAAAAGGTACATACTGCCCTCTGAGATGTTTCACACCTCTTAGGCACTGAGAGTAAGGCTGTCCAGTGCAAAGTCAGCAGCAAGAGGTGTCCCTCCAGTGCTCTTCAACACCTTCATCAGCAACACTGACAGTGGGATGGAGTGCACTCTCAGCAAGAGCTGCGTGCCCCCAGCACGCCCAAGGGATGGGTTGTCATCCAGAGAGATCTAGAAAGCCTCAAACACTGGGCCTAGGTGAACCCTGTCGGCTAGATGACCTTTAAGGGTCCCTTCTGACTCAAACCATTCTACGATGCTAGGATGCTAATTCATGAAAACTACAGGTATGTAAGTGAAACGTTTCCTTTTTGCAATAAATAAAAAGCACCATAGCTCCATGGCCAGTTGTGCATCCACCACCTGAATATCACCAGACCAGACAACATACTCAAGCCAACAGCGGTGATCTGGATTTTCTCTCCCTGCCTTATCTAATCCCTGCTTTATCTCATCTCTCTTTTCTTTTCCATCTCTTCTCTCTATTTCCATTTTCAATTATAGTTGAACGTAACGCAAGGCATGTAATCACTGCTAATAAGGTATAGGTACGTAGATATACTCCACATCTTGTGCTAAGTATTGAAGTGGGACACAGATAAACATTCAGCCGATTGTTCGGTTCCATTTCACCTTTACTTAATGTAAAGGAATTTCAAAACCTCAGTGACCCTGATCAGACTAAGTCATGACAGCACGAGGAACAGAGAAGGGAATCTGAAGCAGAAACACTTAGACCCAACTTTTTCTTCATTAACTTATTTAAGATATGAGTGTGGCTCTGATAAAGAAAATGGCTTCACAGTCAAACATTTGTGCTACGAACAGCATTCAGGTCATGAGAGTTAGCAAGACCCATCTGCTGAAAGGCCACTGGGTAAATCCCAATAATTTTCATACTCGTTCTTAGTGCTATTTCTTTGTTCAGCAAATCCCATGCAGCGAATCTAACACTGAGGAAAGGCATTTCCACTTTAAAATAACAGGTTACGATGTCCCCATCTACGTTACATTTGCAATTATAGTTACTTAAAAACAATACAAAGGAAAAAGAAATAAAATCTCCCGTAAGTTAGGCCCTACTATCTCTGACCTCAATATCATTTGCTGACACAGACAAACATTTCATAAAGCTCTTCTATCATTATTAGCCATAATTTAAATAATTACTGGGCAGGAAAAAAAATCTGTTCAACCATGGCTCTCTAATCTAGTAATTAAATCCACCTGCAGGAAGCTGAACAATTTGTTTCCTGCGTATGACTATTAATGCAGTCAAGTATTTTACACTAGGCAGTATATCACCAGGAGAGACGGAGGCACACAGCCAGTAATTAAGCCACACTTTGATAAGGTCAGAGACATCCACCCAAGCTTCTCCACAGACAGAGGTCTCAAATGAGACAGTTGTGCCAATGTCCATCAGGCTGCTAGTTAAACATGGGATATATTCTCCCATCATCATCTGGGTGTATTTCTGGCCTATTCTGGCTGTTTGACTTATTTCAGTGTAGTCATTACTTCTTGCTAAGCCCGCTCAAGTGACTGACTGAATAGTTTGACCACATAGAGATGAGTACACTATTAAACAGACCATGTGGGAACTGGCTGGATCATTTTATCAAGTTCTCTGCGTTGCAACAAACACATCACACACCACTCACATGTTGCATCAAAAGCCATCTCTGCATCACTCAGAGTAACTTTGGTTTAGTTAGCTTGAGTCTAAGCCAGAAAATAATTATGACAGCATAAGCTCCACATCCATGAGCTCCGGGTCTGAGTCCCACGCTGCAGTAACCAAACTGGCCGCACACAGCTTTGCTAAAAGACACTGCACCATGCCACCCAGATGCAGTACTGAGAAGGCATTCCTGCCAGCCACAGCACTCGCCAAGCAAACTGAAAGCTGCTCCATAACAAACAGGTATCTGCCAACAAGGTCTGTTCTTCAGATGGGTGCTGCCTGTAATGGGTGTGCGTGTGGGCAGCGCCAGCATGCCTCACCCCATGTCCACGGAGAGGTCATGAAAAGACCATTACAACTTCTATGTTCTGAGCAGAAAGGGCAGCTCAAAACATAGGCGTTGTACTGGTCTCTCTTAGCCAGGTATCTTCGTATCTTTAGCTAGGTATATTTGTGCCCTTTTACATTATGCCTCATTTTGATCATCCGTCTCAATTTGATATCTCTGTTTTGTGGTTACTCCTGCAGAGAAAATTCTGGATTTTATCCAGATGATGGGAAATTTTGCCCATTTAGATTACCTGAAGCCAATAACCTTTCTACTGGAAAGCTCCCATCTGGCTAGAAGTACTGCTGCTGCATTTTTCAGCTATGTGATTCCTTTGCAAATGACCCAGCATTATGCTCCAGACATGAAATCTTCTTCAAATCCTCCTCAAGAAAAAAAAAATGCGCTCTTGTTCCAAATTACACACATAAATAGAACAGTGGTTTAATTCGTCTTTAGGAAGCTGTTGAAATGGACAGTGTCAATATATTTTATCCTTGGAAATGAAAATACCTTATTTAACGGTACAGTAGAGAGATCTGTGAAAATGCTACATAAATACTATAGAGTTTGATGGCTAAGTTTTCTGCCAAGTGGCTCAGATATTGTTATTAGGTATTCCACAGTATGTGGGTCATGATGACAAAATGTGTTATTAGTCTTTCTCAAAATGATTCCTTAATTCTCTCTCATACTCCATTGAAATATCACATTGCATGCATTTAACATACAATGTTAAGGCATACATTTATACAAAGGCATACATATTTTAAAATAAGCAATAAGCAATATGCACCCATTCAGTATTCAATAAGCAACATTTGTATGTTATCATATCATCCCTCCTTTGAGTAACGGTGACTTTCTGAGCTAGGAGGAAATTTTGTGCTGCAATATAAATGCTTGTCCAGGCTTTGGAATAGAGAATTAATATACTTTTTATAACGACAAAAAACAACAGTTTTCCAATAGCCCCTCTTCAAATGAAAATGCACCTTCATTTGCAATACTGCTGACACAGTAATGCATGGCTGGTGATGAAAAATACCTGGTTACTTTGTGCACAGTAAGCAATTCTGTCATCACAATGAAGTTCGGAGGTGATTATAAGAGGACTTAGTAAAGTTGGTTATGAAATGCGACTACAGAGTTAGCAAAAGAACACAAAGCATTGAAGAATAAGCAGCACTGGAACAGAAGTGATCTCACTGAGTTTTCTATTCCCAGTGATCGTTTTGTATTTTACTTAATAATTTTGTAATTGCACTTCTTTTTACTGTACATTTTTCCTTTTATACAAATGGACCATTAGTCCAGATTGCCAATCTAGTCCATAGAAAATGAGTGCACTGATCGCCAGTTGGGCGTCTTGTCTTTCAAACGAACACGCCTATGCTGCTTCTCGCTTGCTATCAGGCTTCAGAACTTCAGAGACATTTCAAAACAAAACGTGCCTTAGGCCAAATAAAGTTGTAAAGGCATCCTACCAGAGTGACTGAAGGCGACCTGGTTGGCGGAACGGGGACCTGTATCCACAGACAGGATGGGGAGCGCCTGCCGCACATCCCACAGCTTCAGCACGCCACCGGAATCACAGGAAGCAACCGTGCTGCTCTGTCCAGGTTGGAAACAAAACCAAGGCATTAATTAGATACTTTGGCAAAGAAGAATGCAAATGATGCAGGGCTGGATATCTCCGGATGCCAGGCATTGAAACTTATGTATTTAAGTAGAAATGAGTGAACATGTTTGGTTAACAGAGCCTCTTGATTGCTACATTAACTTGAAGACCAGCACTACCAAAGAAAACAATTTATTAGAAACCTTCAGTAGAAGAGAGAACAGAGGTCATTTTGGATTTTGATACTAGCATCCTCCAAGAATATGGCTTGTGATTATAACTCTCACAGAGACACAGGATTTACTTCTTATTTAAACCTCCAGTATAAAGATTCGAAATAGCAAATCCCCGAAGCAGCTCAGCTGGTGTGTATTCAGAGTTATTAAAGTCAATGTTTTTTTCCAATTTGTGCAATGGTTTGAGAATAGATTAACAGATACTGTTTTGCAGGAGCATTGCAATAGCACAGAACTGAGACTCTGGAAAACACTGGGCAGGTGCCACATCCGTGGCTTTGTCATGTTTGGCTAATATTTATTTCTTTGATGTAAGTAACACATGCAAGAAAATGGAGCCATCTAGCAAAGAGAAATTAAGATCAGAAAATATCCATTGCCTTCTCAAGCAGAAAGGAACAGCCTGCAAAACACTATCATGGTATAAGTTTAATGAAATCTTTAGGTCCATTTGTAGGGTGCTGAGCTGTCAGAACTCCATTCTGGCTTGTTATAGGGAACAACATGGAGTAATACACAGAAACAAAGCAGTCATTTCAGCCAGAATTTGGCTGGCAACACGTAGGCTCTCAGCACTCAATGCTTTGCAAAAAAGCATGGTTACCCTATCTGCATCACACCTCAGCAAGTGTGGTGCTGCTGAGCATGATGGAGGAGCTATTTGTTTTACTACCTGTTCAACCATACTTGCCCAACGCTTTCATTTCAACAGTAGCAGAAGTTCAAGTTCAGCCCATGCAAATGATGAGGTCAAGCAAGCCATGCATGAAACAAAACAAAACAACAAAAAAATGAATACAAAGCTACACTCTGAATCACGGCACGGTTTGATCTGGATCTCAACAAAGCACATTTTCAGTGGAAAAACATCACTGTGCATTCTTCCCTGTGCATTCCCTATCCTCTTTTAATCTTCTCATCCTATTCACTACCATATTTGTTTTGTCCATCTGTTGCATGACAAGTTGCTGGTAGGCAGCAGGTATCAGATACAGTGAAGGCCCAAACCGGTTACTTAAGTTCTCTGCAGGCTGCAATGTGTGGCCATGCCAGAGAGGATCGACCTGCAGGATCCTCACAGATCCACGTGAATGAAGCAGGGCTGGACAAACCTGGCGTGGGGAGCAGCATCCCGCTGTGCCTGGTGCTGTGCAGACAAGCTACAGAAGATGGTCCTGCTCCAAAGGCTTTGCACTCTATCCCAGAAACAAGATCAACCAGCTCCTACTGACAAAACTCTGCAGGCTTTCTATCCATTTCCTCCCAGATGCCTGTATAAACACACTGTGCACCAATGCAACACACAGTAGGATATCGTGCCCAACATGCATGTAAAGGAGCACACCTCATCTGCAAGAAGAATTGAGAAAATACAGCGTTCTGATGGCAACCTGTAACACGTGCTAACGTACAGGACTCTGATGGCAATACACAACATATGATAACAGGCATTTTCTGTGCCTCAGAATACTCTGCCCACAACCTCATCATCCAATGCTTTAATTATTATTGATACCTATGCAGCTCCTGCACCAAAAGCGTACCAAAAGGATTTTGTTAATGAGTCAGCTATTACATTTCACTTCTTCACTGCCTTGATCCCCATTACACACCTTTTCTAAATCAAGAGAACTGAAGATGGGGAATAACAACTTCTCAATAGGAACAAATAAACTGTGAATGTAATCAAACTTAAGGACTATTTGAAGCTACATGCCATTCAGAGATGAAGAAAGGAATAAATCATATGTCAAATGAACTCATTTGCTTCTGGCCATGGGCCATTTTCAGAAGCTTTAAAGTGGAATCATTATGAATTCTTGTATGAGCTTTTGGCTTTTTTGTTCCTTTAGCAGCTACTGCTCCAGTTATTCATACAAGAATGAACTGCATTGCTCTTTGAGTTCTTTTTGCTTCTTGCCACAATAGCATCTTTTTTTATGATGGTTTTTCAATAATACATTATACAAAACATCGAGTTGGACTATTAGGGCTCAACATTCTAAATGTTCCTACATTTAGAAGTAGGGTACAATGAGATCCAAGGAGAAGAAGATGTGCAAAATGAGCTTTATATTGTATGATTTTGATTAAGATTACATTTTATACTGCATCACCAAAGTTCAGTTGTACGATGGCTGCTCCGAAAGTAATGCCTCCTAAGTTGAATTCCTCATGTGGAAAGAACAGCACCCACTGACACTTACTGAATGTTTATGGAGACCAAGCAGTGGATGTGAGCACGGTGAGGTGGTGGATGGTATGTTTCAGAAGCAGTGACAGTGGATCATAATATCATCAGATTATTATGGGCACAGCATGCAGGCTTTTGTTCACTGCTGGCAAAAATACACTGCTAATGATGGTGACTGTATTGAAAAATAGTGTTCTGTAGCTGAGAATTTGCTCTATCATATAGTGTTACTGTGCTCCTTGTATCAGTTGTTGTTCCCATCTCTTTTGGCGTGACCTACATATTATATTCTCTATTCAAGGAGCATGTAGAATGATTCATGAAACTTGTGAGAGCTTCTTCCTAGTCTATACAATTTAGCTGGTGCTTTTGTGAGTGTGCATGCTCAAGTAATTAAAAATTTATACAAGGACTCAATTAGTTTGAATTGAGAACCTGGTTCCAGGCTCCACGGGACCTTGCCTTTACAGTTCTACCTCCTGACTCTTTGCCTTCTCTGCCCTTCTAACACACAGCTCTATATTACGGGAGATCTCCCCTACAATGAGTACATGCAACATAATCCCAATCTCAAAAGGCACTTAGAAACCATCGTAAAATAATTACTTGTAACCTCATGATGATATCTGCTGGTGAGAAATTCAGATTTAAATTGTTTCCATTAAGTTTTTTAAATCTTGTTTTCCTTTTTTTGAAATCCTTTTTTTTTTTTTTCTCCTGGTGAATATTAATAATTATTAACAATGGAATTAATCATCAGGTACAAGTTAATTTAATTTCCTGAAGATTACCGTATATCAGTAACACATGAACTGTAGCAGACAGCTTTATCTAATTTAGACTGCAATAAACCCCTCCCAGCAGTATTCTCATCCAAGTTTTGTTCTGAAGGAAGGTCAGCAGTTGTTTCATGGCCCTCTGTGAATACTTTAGGTGAAACAATGAGTGAAGGAGCTCGCTCCGTCAGTTTGAGAACTTCTTTTGCTCGCAGAGCATCAGGTAATGATACTGCATTCACAGTTCCCTGCACAGACCCCATCTTCCATCACCTACCTCCCTGGCCTGGTGACGCAGCACTGCTAGGGTCTGTTCTGTGCCCGAGGAGCTGCAGCTGAAAACTGCCTGCCGTGGAGCCCCAGAAGATGTATGACGAACAGCCTCAGCTGCCTCAGACTGAGACAGAGTGGGGAAATATGCATTTCTAACATGCACCCTGCGGGACACATCCCAAAAGTCACTTAACTCTACCGCCATTTTATACGCATTAACTTATTTTTTAAGAGGAGGAATCATTACCTCCTACATTTACAGCATGAAGCACATCAGAAACCTGGTGAGAGCTGTTAACCTTATGCCTTGATGTAATACAAAAGCTAGCAGCAGTCAGAAAAAAGTGTGATGGGGCACAGGCAGCCAACAGTGCCTGAGCCATCCCATCTCATCGGCTGGATCCAGGCTTTCTGAGCTGCAGAGAGCCAGGGCAGGGAAATCCCAAGGGAACCCAAGCAGGGGTGGATGAATGTGCTGCAGCTTTAACAAGGAAAAAGACTCTAATGTCCTATTAAGCCAAATGAATTATGCAAAATATCACACAGATGGAGAAAAAAATGCAGATGTGTTCCATTATTAGACTGATGACTAATCAATCACCACCCATTTTTGAAGCACCAGGTTTAAATCACTCTGGTTTCAAATGAAAATAGCATCTTCTTAGAAAGACACAGAGTTACTTAGCTTGGTAAAACTACAGAACTACATTACCACTTCGAGAGTGCGGCAGTATTAATAGTTACTTTCATCAAGAGTGGAGGTTACAGGCAGTGCCAGCACCTTCCCATCTGATTTTTCCTTCACAGTTTTGAGTTTACATAACCATCACAGTAACCATATGTGTCTCAAGGAAGCTACAGACAATAAACATCTAGAGCTTAGGCAACTACAGTCTGGTACTCCCTTCCTGTGGCTTTTTTTTTCTTAATCTAATAGCCATCAGTTGGCAAGAGAGGCTCTTCTGGAAGAGAGGGGAGTCAACACAGATGCGGAAAGAGCCTTCTCAAAGCCTCATAGTTGGTTCCTCCAGCTTTATTTGCAGTTGTTAACAGACAACTCCTCATTTTGCACCATGCAGTTGACTGGTAAAACTTCTACAACTTGCTGCAATAATTTACTAGGCTGTTTTTCTCTTAATATTATGGCCCGATGTGCAATTTTTGAGTGCACTGACTGTGCGTGCTCTGGGGCAAGAGCAACCTCCCCCACAAAACGGCTCTATATGCACTGCAAGCATTTGATAAAAGACAATATCTATTATTAAAAACCATTATGGATTCATAACTACAAGAATTTGCTCCAAGCTCTCTCTCAAGCTCACGAGGCAGTCTCAGCACCTACCCCACTAACTCGAGGGAGATCACTATCTGTCAGCACAACTGGTGTTTTCTGTCAGTGGGATCAAAGATGATCCTGGTGCTGGCACAGATGCTTTTGCTGACACTCCTGACCGTCAGGGGCTCCAAGGAGAGAGCTCTGTGACCAAAGAATGAGTGCTGTCAGTGCAACCAAC